AACTTTCATTATTTTTTAAGAATTAACATGACATTTTTGAAAAAATTAATAAATAAATACTGGTGTTCTGTTTGTGATAGAATAATTGTCCACGTTACCAACAGACCTAGATAAGTGTAGTATTTTGACCTACTGTATATACTGCTAATATTGTATACGATATTCATCTTTATTATTTTTGTATTCTTTCTGGAAAATAAGTTTTAGATTGTTGGTGTACAATATATTGCATAGTGTACACCAAATATATTGCATTATATTACATTTATACATTATATGCCTGTACACCATAGGATAACATACATTGGTCAGCAATAGCCATAAACACACATACAGCTTATTTAGTGGCCATTTTTTTGTGTTTCAGGTTTAGGAGCTCAAACATGCAATGTAAAATTTGCAAATTTACCCACTCTTCTCAAGATGTCCTTCTCAAACACACAAGACTGCGACATGGAGGAGGAGTACCTTGGAACTGTTTTTATGACAACTGTGTTTGCACCTTTAAAACCCAAAGTGCACTCAAATCACATCTTACAAGAATACACAACAGAAGCAGAAAACATCAAGGAAATTGGACATTTTTGTGCGACTTGTGTGACTTTAATGAGTTTTGTACTGAAATCCACTATTTTGCTCACCTTGGAAGACATCTACAAAATAAAGAAACTGTACTGTGCCCCTTCCAGAAATGCACTTTTAAAACCAACAATCGTTCCAGCTTTAGCAGTCACAAAACAAGAAAACATAAAAATCACACCATACAAGATTTCAGATTAGTAAATAAGGACTCAAGAGAAGACTTGGATGACACAGAGACAGAGTTAACTGGTGATCTTGAACCTGCAATCTCATCACAAGAGCCTGTAGAAAGGAGAGAACAGGACACAGAAAGTGTTGATGTTGATATACTTGAGCGTAAAGTTGCGCAACTTTTTCTTTCTATGCAAACAGTGTTGCATATTTCTAAAAGTGCAATACAGAAAATAGTGGAGCAGTTACATGACATTTTAGATTTTTCTAAGTGTTATGCTCTTGATAAAATTAGGGAGATACTTGCCAAGCATAACATTGTAACAGATAATAATCAGGTTGTGCAAGACATTACAGATGCACTTTTTCAAACAAATCCTCTTTTTGTAACAACTTCAACACAAGGCAAATTCTCTACAGATTACAGAAGAAATTTGTATTTTAAGGAGCAGTTTGAACTGATCGAACCTACTGAATATTTGTATGACAGGACACAAAAAAATTCTTTTGTCTATGTTTCAGTTGCAAAGCAGCTGGAGTGTTTACTTGGTCAGCAACAGTTTTTGGACAAGGTTGTGTTTAATCAAGAGTCTTTGCCTGGCCAATATAAGTCTTTTCAGGATGGAAGATACTACAAGGAGAACAAACTTTTAGGTGAAAAAGACAGTGGCATTGCTTTGGGTTTATACATAGACGACTTTGAAGTCTGCAACCCTCTCGGCACCTCAAGAAAGATTCATAAAATTACAGCTGTATATTGGGTCATTCTGAATTTGTCTTCAAAAAGTCGTTCAAGTCTAAATTTAATTAATCTAGCCGCTCTTGGAAAAACTGATGATGTACGATTGTTTGGTTATGAGAGGTTCCTTGAGCCATTGGTTAAAGATATAAAGACACTGGAACAGGTGGGGATATTTGTACCGGCTCTACAGCAGTACGTGAAAGGAACTGTGTTTTGTGTCTGTGCCGATAACCTTGGAGCACACGGCCTTGCAGGCTTCCACGAAAGCTTCATTGTTGAGAACTTTTGCAGATTCTGTCTAATCAGTCATAAACAAATTGCCAGCACTGAGCCTAGAGATTTTCAGTTAAGAACCCCAGAACAACACAACTCTCTGCTGAAGGAACTTCAGAATGATGACCAGCTCCATAGTTTGAATGGTGTAAAAAAGGAGTGTGTTCTGAGCAAGCACTTATCATACTTTCATTCAATTACAGGATTTCCTGCAGATGTCTTGCATGATTTTTTTGAAGGGATCATCCCTGTTGAATTATCTCTGTGTCTGAAGGACTTGATTTCAAAACGACACATATCACTTGAGGAACTGAATAGTCGTATCAAGTCATTCCCCTACAAGTATGCAGATCGTGTAAATAAACCACAGAAAATTCCCAAATCAAGCTTTGCAAAACGAACAATCGGTGGCAATGGACACGAGAATTGGACCCTGTTGCGATTACTCCCTCTCTTGATTGGCAGCAGTGTCCCAGAAAATGACCCTGCATGGGAGATTTTAATGGACCTCAAGGACATTGTGGAATTGGTTGTATCTACAAAGTTCTCAGATGAGACATTGAGCTATTTGGAGAGTAAAATAGCAGAACATCGTAAATTACTTACAGAGACTTTTCCTGATTTCAGCATACGACCAAAACATCACTTTGTCGACCATTACCCGCACCTGATCCGCTGCTTTGGGCCGTTAGTGGAATTATGGACGATTAGATTCGAGGCAAAGCACAGTTTCTTTAAAAAAGTTGTGCACGATACCCACAATTTCAAGAACGTGCTTCTCTCACTTGCAACAAAGCATCAGCAAATGTTAGCTTTTTTTCTAGAGGGACACTCTCTGTTCAAGCCACAGTTATATGTCGAGAGTCTCAAAGTGGTTGAGACAGGTTCATTAGATACAACACTGAGGGCAGCAGTCACAAAAATGTATCCTCAACAGAAAACAGTTTCTTTAAGTTCTGATGTACGCCTACAAGGTGTGCGATATGTTAAAGACATGATCATTTCTGCTGGGCAGTGCAGTGGTTTGCCAGAATTTTATAGGATTGTCAGCATTATGATTGTTGACAACAGTGTATCATTTATCTCTCACAAACTTTCATCTTGGTATTTGGAACATTACAGGTCCTTCGAGCTTGTTGAAAACATATGTCCAGAGATAGAGATTTTGGATCCTGAGTCTTTGAATGATCTCGGTCCACTGCAAGCATATAAAGTAGCAGGAAAACTCCTGGTATCTCTGAAAGTCTTTCTTCTACATTAAAAGGTAAGCAAGTTTTCTTGCAAAGCTTGACATGTAAAGTTATAATTATGCCGTGTACGCATAACAACAACTCGTTTATTGTTTCTTGTCCCCTCAGATAATGTGGCTTCGGGTCATCATCTCACCCCAAAACATTCGGAAGGTCCAACTTTCACAACTGCCTGACTCTGTGGACAGTTTAAAAGCAAAACTAAAATCAAAGTTGGAGATTCAGGAAGACTTTTTGCTACAATATGAGGACCCTGACTTTGGAAATGAACTGTGCAATTTAACAGACATTTCTGAGCTGCCTGCTGAAAGGGCTGTTTTGAAAATTGTGTGGGACCCAGATTCATCTGTGCTTAAACAGTCTGATACACAATCTGTTTCCTCTCTTGATACTGCCAGTGTGTCAACGTCTTCCTCCCAGAGCTCTTCAGCCGTCGTTCAGAGCCACATGAGAAGTACATTGGAGTGGCCGTCACCTTTTCCAATTCCTACTTTCTCGTATGATGTTGAATTGAGGCTTCGCAGAGCAAATGAGGCTTATGAACAAACAAACAAGGCTTTAAGTGTACCAAGAGAAATGAAGTCCCACATCTTGGAGAAAATTGC